TTTCCCAAAATGCAAATAGAACATCTTGAAGGAATTGTATAAAACCGACGTATTATAAAAAAAAACTATTAAAAATGGACCATTTGCTCTCTTTGATAATTTGATAATTAATATTTTTCGCGGCCAGCATTACCTTAAATCCTTCTCACGTAGTTTACACGTGAACGCAGCAATAATTTCCGCCGTAATGTCCGAGGAGATCTTGAGGAAACTTTCCTCGATGGGGAAGAGAATAAAGTGAGCGAAAAATGTAATTCGTGTCGTAAATTTCGGCAATCGCATACGCCGGACAAGTGTCGGTAATAGGCTCCTTTTTTCTTTTTTTCTTTCTTTGTCGCGGCCAGTTTAGCACGCTTTATCACGCCGGGTCGTTTCGTTTCGAGCGGACATTCTGCATCCGACACGTAGACGCAGGTGGAAGCGCTTTATGACCGACGTTATATTATGATCAAATCTCATCTGCGCGTCGAATGTCACCGGGTAGGGACGAGGGACAGCACGCATTATATTGTACTTACAAGCGGCATTTATCTTCCTCTCTGTGGACAATACACTTACAATAAGTTAATTTCGTCGCCCACTCCGTTTACGTCTCTTCCTTGTATAACGATTTTGCGTAAAACTACCGCGATTACATCGCGTTTGCGACAATTCCAGCTTCCTGAACGATCGTCCGTTCAAGAGTACAGCTATAAACCTAAACGGTGAATCGCGATAACGTGATATCGCGATTTACATCGCGAATTACACGTTCGTCCGCGTTTTCAGTGAGTATATTACTTTCGTCTCGATGTAACGCGACGTTGTCGGATATTCGGCCGGTTAATAAATTAACAATTACGACAAACAATGTCAAAGTACGGCATCGATGCGCGCTTGTTGATTATGTAGGACACTTATGCATACGCCTGTATACCTGATCACAACACTCTAGTCGAATGTTTTTAACTAGATGCGTGTGCAATGCGCTAGACGACCGTGCATATTCATAGCGTGATGAATAACGTGAATATTCAAGAATATAAAATTGGAGTGCTTGCGCTCCACTTACGGTCATGTAAATTTGTCATTTGGGTTCATAAATTATAAGCTCCCCTCTCCTCCCCCCTCTCCTTCCTCTCCCCCCCCCATCTCGCACTGCAGTTGCGCATCAATCTAGAATTTATCGATACACTACTGTAGCGGCATACATTATCGCAATTATGAAATAGAGTGTGCTTTCATCGAATCCGCGCCCGGTTACTCGAGATTCTTTAAATACATACGGTTGACAAATATTAACATATCTATCGAGCCGGCAGAGCATCCCTGTCCTCCTGCTCGTGCATAAATCGAGATTTTAGAGCTTCGAGCGCGATGTACGAGTAAAAGATGCTTTGCAACGCGAGTCGCGTACAGGACGCGCGATACAACTTTACCTTCTAGATAACATTCTCGTAAGTCAAGAAGAATCCTCTTATTCTCGCTCCCGACAAGAGGGAACGATATTTCATCGGCAATTAAATCGCGCTGATAGCAGTGAAGGAAATTTGTTATCGCGAACGCGCGCGGTAAGTCGCGGGAAGTTTGCGACACTTACGTCTTAAGTGTAAAGCGGGTGCGCGCGCTGCTAGAAAGTTATTATTAGTTTCTCGCAGGAAAGCGTACTCTCTCCTCTCTCTCTCTCTCCCCTCTCTCGTAAAATAGCGGGAAACAGTGTTATGTCGTTTGCAAAGTTGGCATCGCGCACGGGTATAACATAGCGCTTTCCCGAACGCGAGGACGGAGAAAATTACCAAGTCTCGATCCATCATTCGTTACCCGTTTCGCTTTTTCTCGAGACATTTAGAATTTACCGTGTCGCGGGGGCATTATCTCCGCGACGAGGAACGCGTTATTTTTCGGCAGGCTAATGCTTACGTACGTTTAGCGGAACATTACCCCTCTAGAGCGGACGTTGTTTATTCGCCGCGCTCTCCTGTGATAAGCGGACCTCGTAAAGAGCGGGAATCCCGGATACGCGATGTTGAAAATTGAAAAACTTGCGCGACACATTTCGCGTTTTCGGGAACGGCTTCCGCCTATTTATCGACGCACGTAATTGCCTTCTCGATGCACGGTTCGATGGAAAGAGAGAAAGACACGGGGGAGGAAGAAGACGGGGGAGTTGACCTCCCTTCTAGTGGGGTGGGTCACTTTCCCGGCGCGAAAAGCAACGATATTTCCACGTAACCATTCAATTACGCAAATGAAACTTGCTCGTTCGACTACATTGCTCATTCTCACTTGATGTAATTACTGTTTGGTGCGAACGTCCGCCATGTCGAGATCCGCGATCGAGACCCCTGCGGATCCAGCTTTCAAAACATTTCAATCTTCTTCCCGTTACCACATTAACTCGTCCTGTAACGGTCTTAAAGCTGAGCTGCTCGAAACTACTCGCTGTGTATGCGTGTACATGTTTGCGCGCGTGTATGTATGCTACTCTATTACATTTTGTATGATATTAGAGGAAAGCTGTACCAAAACATGAGCATCGTAAACCGACACCCCCTATTCCTCGGCGATTAAGTGCCACACTTTATCAGAGCTGGTATGAACTTGGTCCGCTTACTTAGCTTACTCATTAGAAGCTCGTAGTTTGTGTATTCATGTTGTTCGTTTATATGCTAACTCGAACTTATATCGAAAGTTTTTGAAGTTGGAAAGCTTTTCTTTCCTGGGAATTTCTTGGTGAAATAATTATCTACAAATACTAGCGAAATATATATGTTTCGTCAATATTTTATTTTACATACACAGAAAAAAGTGAGTGTCAAATCAAAATTTGTATAATTAAACTCTAACGCGTTCATTGTTTCGTATATGCGCAACAATTATAATCATAACATTTATAATCAAAACGCGTTCATTATTTCGTATATACGCAACAATTTATAATCTTTTCAGAAGAATTTAATAATTTTAAATTTCAACAAAATTATAGTCTTATTTTAATATCGTAATTGTCACCTCAAAAATAAATAATTATTTGATTCTATTTTTAAAAAATTATAATCTTTGATTTAAAAATGTTATTTTCTATCCAACATTGTTTCTTTTCCATTCGAGAAAATTAAATCTTAAATCATAAGAATATATTTTTCTCGATCGAACTATATAAAATGGCTTCATTCAAGCAAGCAATTATATTTTTTTTAAATAACGCGATATAATCTCATTTCAAGATTTCCATGTTAAAACTAGATATATTTTCAAAACAAGAATATCCTTTTTTCTATGTATTTGTGGATTTTCAGACTTGTTTTATTCATGTTTTTATCTTTTTATTATGAATCTTATTATATTTGTTTCGCTAAAAAATTTGTGACAATTTTATCAAAACTGAGATACAATGAAACATAATCTTTGGTAAATATCTGTGGACAAATTTTTGTTACATTTTTAACTAACGCGATTGAATTTTTAGAAATTTTAGAAACTTCTTCCAAGAAAATGCGACTGAAATGCACAGGATACATACTTCGCGAGTCTATAATGCAGCTGCGCGGATAATTTAGGATACACGGAGCAAGGAATCGCGTACCTACCGAGAAATATGCGGATAAATAAAAGCATGTATGTATGTAAATATTGTACATTGTGCGCGCATCGTATTTTACGGTAAACCGAAGCGTGTCGCATGAAGAGGTGGGTCGGAAGACGGGATAGGGATCGGCCCTTCGCGCAAGCTTTGGTGTCTCATAAGGGTAGCGGCTTCCATTCGAGCCTCGAGCACTCTCATGACTCCGTTGTGCTGGTTAAAGGCTCTCATTGCCACGCGCGTTTCTACCCTCCACCGCCACTGTTGTTGTACACCCGTATTAGGAGATAGATTTACATGAGTAAACACGTTGAGGTCTAGGGTTCCACGTACAAATTGAGATCAGAGTTAAACCCGGGAATAGAGAGAAATGACTTGAATATGCGTATTTATTAAAGAATCATACATTGAGAATGCATAAACACATATTGAGAATCTTTTAAAAGCAAGAATTTATCATAAAAAATATGGCACGCTAAATTTATTTAATTCTAAAGAGTTAAATAAATTTAGAGCGTGTTTTCCCTTTGTCATCATTCTCTTCCTCTTGTCACCTTGTTCCTCATGATATATAATAGATATTATACCGCATGAGGCAACTACATTCAAATGCAGCTAAGCCCGCATTATGTGTGTCAATAAAAGAGAGAAAGCACGTTGAACTTTGAACGACAGTTGGGTCATCGAGACCGAAGCTACTTGTCAAGCGTATTTACGGCGGATACTTAGGATATAAAACGAAGATCTTATTTTCATGAAAAAGCCATAAAGTCGCAGTCCGTCCGTGCTTTCAACGCCGGTCGCTGTAACATACGGGATGATGATTCCACGGGCGCAAAGTACTCACAAAGTTTATATGCCGTTGTGTTACGTTAGAAGTTATGTGCCGTACAACCCTCCCCGAGGAAAATCATATTTCTACACGTATTCGCCGACGCGCGTTTTACGCTGAAGACATCAAAATAATCCCTTTAAACAACGACAGGCATCATGTATCCTCCAGGGGTCGGCGCGTTACACTTATTCTTTCAGACTTCATAAAAGTGTGTTACGTACAAAGTAAAATTTTATTTACATCGTGGTATCTCCTGTTTCCCCCCGTCCTCTCCCCCTCCTCTTCCCTCACATCTTCCAGATTACGTTTCAGTCGTTTGAGAGAAGTGTCCCGTGGGCGAGACAAAAATTGGTTTTTTTTTCCCACCAAATGTGAGAGGACATGTAATAAATTTATCACGGAGTGATAAGGTTCGATGAAACGTTATCGAGATGGAGGTCCTCATGCTTTTTTCACGATGAACTAAAGTAACTTTCGCTGTCGCTTGTCCCTTCGACAAGTGACATCCTGATCTTGCTTTAGCTATCTCTCACGAAGGAAGAGCGTACCATGGGACGCAATTATTGATTAAGAAAAGTGATAAATCGCGCATGCTATACTTACTCGTAGCGCTGACAGCTGGTCCGATGACCGAGTACTTGGGGTTCCCCGTAACGACCCCCGGGACTTTGTCCGGCTCTGAAACACATTATTGTAATTATCTTTGGAATATACAGTGTCGTTAATTACAACAGGGAGCTGCGTATGCGATGGACCGCGGCCAATCTACCTTAGCACAAAGGACCCACCCGCATGATTCATCATCCCGTAAATCTGTAAAGGTTGCTTGCGCTTCCTCTGGAAAATACCAACACGTTGCACCAAAATATGTCGCAATAACTATTGAGTGTCGAAATTGATTGAATTTATACAATGCATATGATTCGCAATAAATGAAGGCGAATGAAATAATTTGGAATATCGAATTTAGGCAGGAAACTCGATTATCATTTAATAGTCAATCTCGTCTATTTATAATTCCACATTGTATATCTGTTAATGGCAATGTCGAGGGACAATAATATAGCAACGGGTAAATTCAATGGTCCGAATGTTTGGGAGGAATGAATGCTTTCGGTTGCCATTATCAAGTAAGCAAAAGTATCCGCAGAGAATGCAAGCTTCCTCTTCAGGTATTACGGTTTGTCGGAAAGCTTCACGATCTTCCTTGCCGACCGTGAAAAGCTTCGACGACATATTCCGAGAGCTTGCGGAAAGCTCTGTTTCATGGCGCTTTCGTACCTCAGCACAGCGACGCGTTCTGTTGAGCTTTCGAACTTATCTCTCGCTTGAACCTACAGTATCGATCGAGTCCGCGCTTCATTATAAGTTAATCTTATCATGTAAATTTAATAATTGCTTACTTTCCGATTTTAACAATCAACCTCTTCCGCTCGATTGTTCAAATTAATACATGAATATAAATATATATATATATATTTATATGTAAAGAGATAGAATTTAAATAAAAGATATCTGCTTACGGAAGAATTAAAATAAATAAAATTTTTAATAATTTTTATAATTATAATTTTAATAATTATATCATAATAACATTGAATGATCGGAAGAGGTTTTTATTAACAAGAAATGCGAAATTTGTACGTATGTGCTGGTTTTCTATAGTGAAAATTACCACGCAACTGGAGGACAGACAATGAGACAGATCAATGAGTGAATGATTCACATGGTTCGTTGGCGCGCGATGCGAAGTAACGGATAATTTAATGGCTCGTCTCGCGTGGCTTTCAAGGATTCATCCGGTGACGGAAGCGCCTGGTTGCGGTCTTACACATCGCGAGACCGAAGCAATACCGAAGAAAGAGGATGGAAGAGGAAGAGGGGATGATCGAGGAACGGTTCGAGGGTGGGATGAATTTTCGTAATGCCCGATCCGTGAGAGTAACCGTCGTTCATTACTGACCGGGATGCGCGTCGTCCAATGGTTGAAATTGGAACTTCGCCTTGAAGCCCTGACCCGGCCAGTCGGAATTAGCGACGAACTCGACGTAGATGTCTGGTCCCGTGCTGAGTACCTCCACTTCCGCTCCTTGGTTGCAGAGCACGGCTATTGTGGGCGCCCCTGAATCCGCTCCGTCGTGCACCCTGATTAAATCCGCCCTATTCAGGCAACTGTAACAGGATGCGCGGTCTTCGTTAGAAGACGGCGACTTATCGGTACATTAACCTCAGACGAGTGACTAACCCAATCTCTCTGTCTCTGTCTCCGTGAGAGAAACTACAATATTCACTTTTAACCCAATTGCCACTCTCGCGCTTTTAAGAAACATGAAATATCTATAGGATCTATGATGAAATCTGCGTTAAATTAATCTCGCTGCTTTCTCATAAGACTCCCAAGCCCGGTTTTACATTGTAAAAGTTCGCCTCCATAAAGATTCAAATCGAAATGGGATGCGCGAATAAAGGGGAGGGTCTTCGAGATACTCGGCAACGAATTCCAAGTCCGCTTTGAAGCTGTACGGCTCGTCTAGATAACGCGCGGCTATGGGATAAAGGGAACGGAAGGAAGGATGAAAGACAAGAAAGATGAGAGGCAGGATGAAGCGAGACAGTTCGATGAGGCCGAAGGTGAAACTGTAAAGAGTGGTGAAATGACAAAGGAAGGAGGAGGAAGGGAAGAAAGAGAGAGAGACAGAGAGGAAAGCGAGGCCGAGGAAAATCTCGACGACCGCGGGCGATTCGTTTTATACGTGTACGCGAACTGTTCTTCGCTCGATCGAACCGAAGAGGAGCATTACATCTTCTCCGTGTCTTCCCCCATCCCCCTCCCCGCCCATCTTTCCGGCCTTACGAATCGCGCGCTATATCGACAGGATTCGCCGATCTGACCGATTTAAAGGACTTGATCGATGACGGCCGACAGGATAACCTTATTACTTGCACGGGTTAAGCAATTACGTTGGCAGAGAAAGATTATCGTCGGAAGAGCCGGAGATTAAAGAGCCGCTCGCCCTCCTCCCTTGTCCTTCTAGGCCGTTTCGCCCACTCGCCCGGCGACCTGCACGCGCGACTTCTGACCTCGCCCGCTTAGCACATGGCGTTCTTTGTCGATGTAGCACGGGATACGCTACGCGATATTTTATACAGGGTGTTTCATAAGTGGTGGGCAGGATCGGCAGAATTTCAGGAGTGGATTCCTTATGCTTAGAGAAGAAAAAAAAGGTCGATATGGGTCCGGAAATGATTAGTTTTTGAATTATTAGATTTTGGACAATTAGAGGAAATGTTCACCTCCTGTCGCAATACAAGCCTTAGCTCGTCGTCTCATTGAGTCCCGAACACGCTCCCAAATTCCTGGGTATGGAATTGTAAACAAGAATAAGAATAGTACACCGCGCTAACGCAAACATAGGCCGCCGAGCTTGAAAAGCATTGTTGATGCCTGTAAAAGAACTTCTAAGACGAGAAATGAGACAAAATTTTGTATTACACAAATCTTAATAACTCAATCAACAAACTAATCATTTTCGGACCTATGTTGATTAGCTTTTTTCTCTTCTCTGAGCGTGAGGAATCCATTCCTGAAATTTTGCCCACCATTTATGAAACACCCTGTATATACGTATATACACAATATCGTAGGGAATATCCATACGAATATGCGCGCAGAAAGGATCAGATTATTTCCTATTCCGACTTGTGAATTTGAATCGATTTACACACACACACACACACATACACATACACATATCAGACAATCAGCCTCGAAAGGTTTCGACCCTCGTGAAATTAGAGATTCGCGTGAAAATTGGATGCGGGAGGTAAGCAAATCCGCCTATCAAAGTTAATTTAGTGTGACATCGCGCCCGGAGTGTGTATACGGAATTCTTCAAGTGTCCGATAAGATTTACTCGGGTCCATCAGCGGCGAGCTCCGTTGGGTTTCGCTTCAGTCGATTTTATCCGCGTCTACCGTGTCTCATAGCGGCCATTCCATGAATATCGTTGAGAGTAGCGTTTACCTCTGGAGAGATTTGAATTCAGGCGTGAAAGCACCCTCAAGTATTTCGAAGCGATACTGAAAGAAGCCCGTTCCTCTTTTCTTTTTCCCCCCTTTCCTCCTCTTCTCCTAAAGCTTCGCAAGTTGTCTCGCGTACGTAACGCGAAGAGATTATCCATACCCATTACCTGCCCATAGGAGGGGATTACTGTCGATACTATCGATAGTTCTCGCCGACTGATAACTTTATACGCGCGTGCTATAAGCGTGCACTTTCTCGAATAGAAAGTGCGGGATTGTATCGAGTGCTGGATGGAGGAGTCTCTTTCTCTCTCTTTCTCTCTCTCTCTCTCTCTCTCTCTCTCTCTCTCTCTCTCTCTCTCAGTATCCATCAGCACCATTCACGATAATATCCGAGTGCGTCTGACGGAGCGGCTTAACGTTGATATATGGAAGCATTTCTCAGCTCTTAGCCCAGCTCTTACAGATTTTTACCAGCAGTCTTCGAAGGAAGTGCCATCGGCCGCGACATAAATTAACGCTATCGATCGCAGATTTGTCGACAGCACTTTCCGTATCATCCCCCTTCGACTTGGTTGATCACTCTTTTTTTTGTCCCGCTGGATTTATGCTACGATTATAGTGTTCGATATCTCGTCAAATTCCGTGTTTGGATAAAAAAAAGCTCTGCAAAGAAAAAGCACAATCGCATTGGAGTTATTTTCCGCGAATAAAATATCTTTATCGCGAGTTTTTACTTATTATTGCATTATCGCATTTCTCGTTAAGGTAAAAAGTAATTAGCGACATGTGTATAATCTTGATAAATTTATTTTAACAAAATAAATTTATCAAGATTATACACATGTCGCTAATTACTTTTTTCCTTAACGAGAAATGCGATAATGCAAATAAATGTTACTATGATGATTGATATTTTATGCAAATGTCAACAAATGCACGAGATGATGTTTGACTAGAAATTCGCGTATTCTCTTTTGGTGTTTACGGCAAAAGCATTCATCTCCTACCATCTCTGGTATAAATACGTCAGCATAAAGCTAATGATCCATTTATCCTGTTACACGAATATCGACGGATCCATCGATGTTCGATTAATTTAAAACGTGATATCGCGAAGCGTGTCAGAAATATTACTCTATCTACAGAAGAATCGATACCATTTCCGATGAGGAGATTATTGCCTTCATCACGAATAAACAAGGAGTCGATATGTGGAAAATAAGCACATCTGAAGGTGGATAGATTATGTAGAGGGTCGCGTATGAAATAATATTTGATCGCAAATTTTCGTCGTAATAATCGATTTTCATCGTATAGACGTCGAATTGCTCATGAATCACTATGCTATAGCCGGACTCCGCGCGAAACAGAATATAGAGTGAAGTTTAAATGAGTTTCGGTGTATCCGTTATTTTACCTGCAAAATAAAACCGTCATGAAAGTTAAAATTACCAACTTAAACATTGACATGTGTCTGCAAATTTTATGCGTATGTATTTATAAAATATTAAAAAAAAATTCCTAATTTTCATCGCTGATGAGAGAGAATACAGATCGATTATAATATCAGTAAATGTTGCAAAAACAACGGCGTTAAATTTTTCAAACATTTTATCGCCAGCGCGCGCAAAAACTTATTACTTGCACAATGATATTTCCTTTTCATTTTCAGCCACGTTCAGCCGCCATACTGAGACTTGCGTAATAGCATAATGCGATTTGAAAATTGCTTATTATTCGTATCTCGTCCCGCGCCACGAAAATTACATTTGCTTTCGCATTATTCTTAGCTAGATCCAAGCGTATACAATTTTCTGAAATTTCACGCAAGCCACTTCTCACATGTTCACAAAGTAACGTTATATCTGCAAATGTTATTCGAAAACGTTTGTATAATTTACGGTCTCGTGTGACTAAATGATATAATTCCAACTAGTCCGAAATCTCTCGTTCTTGATTTGACGTTAATTTTACACGCGTCGTTTCAGTATGATTCTTCAGGATTTTTCATCCGTCTGAGACCTCACCGACTTTGATTTTGGCGTTTGAAGCTAAAAGATCACTGACGGAATGAAATTAAGGGAGCTCAATACTGAATTAGGACGGAGTTCGAGGATTTATCAAGGATTAACTCCTGCACGCTGCAACTGCAAGTCCCTAGGCGCCTCTCGTTTTCCCAAGTCGACCTCGGCATCACCATTCTAAGTCTTTGCGCGGAGAGGAACTTTATGTGGGTTAAGTAGAATCATGGTCCACGTTCAAAGGATTTAGGGGTCAAATTGCCAGCATATACTCACATTTTGCGGGATTTAAAAAAGGAAGAAATAAAAAGAAACAATAAAAAAGTATTCTACCGCAGTTAAATCGAGATTGTATTGCGGTCAAGTTAATTACGACGAAATGCGTGAAATTGGTGTGTAAATTTTTAAATCCTTGACAAAGACCGACAGCAACGCGAGGTTGGGCGTTGGAGAATTCGTCGTAAATATATTCCCGGTAAGATATTCGTTGCGCTCGCTAGGCTGAATATGAAGTTTACCGAGCTACGAGTAAGAAACACGAGGGAGGGAGAAAGAGAGAGAGAGAGAGAGAGATATCTTGACGTGAAATATGTTCCCGGCAAAATATATGTAGGAGTTGTTTGAAAAAATATTCCGCCTTTCTTGGTTCATGCGCAGTCCAGGCATGTCGCGTCCTCGATGGCGCGCTAACCGTGGGAAATCGAAGGGACAGGACAATCTATGGTAGCCAGATTGAAGAGAATCGCGAGCTCTCAGTATTACCGCCTGGCAGATTTATGTCAGTAATATCAGAAGCATTAGCCGTTTGACGTATTGGCGATCGTAAAATTTCGTGTCGTGCGCAGAGGGGCGAGAAGAGCTATCTCTCATTCGCGTGGATTGATAATACATCAGATTCTGCGGCCTTTCCGGTCGACAGCGGTGATTTGCATGTTCGGTAACTACACAGGATACTCGGGGTTCCCGCGTATCCTAAGTACTCCTCACGATCGTGAAAGACTCTCCAACTCACGAACGTTCCTCTCGCGCTGGAGCGCGTAACGAGATATATCTAACTACCGTCGATTATTCTCGGCACGCACGTAGTACGCTCGTGAAACATAGTAGGAAGTTCAATACATTCGAATTACAGCGAACTCTCGTCCATGGATCGATCGTTCGTTCATTTGTTCACTGATCGTTTAATATCGTGAAAAAAAAAGTTATCGTGCAAATAAACCTATTAGCCAATGTATTATCGTTTTATATGTATTATATAAAAAAATATTATTATATATTAAGATTTTAATGTATAATACTAGCTTTATATAAATATAAATATATTATAGAAATATATTCCTTTTTTGGCGGTAAGACATATTTTTTTATTTAAAGTTGTTTAGAAACATTACAATTTGTAAAAAATCTTGGCATTTATATATATATATATATATATATATATATATATATATATATGTATAATTGAAAAATATTATAAAAAATTTAAAATTTTAAAAATGCTGATAACTATGAGTTGCAATATTGTGGAAAATGTTGAAAATTTTATTATGAAAGTTATGTGTGAGGGAGGAAGAGAGACAATTCATGTAAAAGAACTGGATTTTTGCGTGCAAAAATGATGTTTAGGTAGCTGTTTTTATTCATATGATAATATACTTTTATTTCATACTCATATTTCAAAACTTATGTTTTTAAAAAATGTTATATTAAAATTTTTTCCATAAAGTATTCAAATGTCTCAAATGTCTGATAATAAAAACAGTATTTACTCTCATGAATATCAGTATTTATTTTAAAACGTTTGTTTTATAATTTTTTTATGCAAGTAAAATAAAGATTAAAATATCAATTTTTTCAGTGCAAAATGGTATTAATATTAATCAATTAATGTGTAAAAATAATATTTTTATATTAGCATGTGTCTCTAAATTATTTTATATATTCTTGAAACTTGTAGCTAATAATATAAAACTTATTTGTGAAATTTTCATAAACGCAGACAAACTATAAAGTATATTAAAGTTTAATATTTACTTTAATATAAAAATAAATTATTTAGAGGAAAGAAAAGTTTCTTACGTCTTATATTTATCTCAAACGTTAGATAAATCTGTACTTTTCAATTTGCAAAATCGACGTCCATAACACGTAACGACGCACAAGGCGACCCTCACTTATCGTTGTCGCTCCGACCATTCTTTCTGTATCCTACAAACACACTGCTGACATTATCTACGTCTCACGATATACTCTCGAAGACTACATGCATCAGGGAAGACGTTGTAAATGTCTTAAAGAACGAAGGGACAATGGAAAATACGTTCTTTGTGAAGTTTCTCGAGCGATTGGGATTCTACATCAACATTCCTCGCTTACATCGCCGGTCCTTTGCTCTTCGGCAAACAAACCAGTTTTCGTTTGATTAATTTAATGGTTCGTTTGGCTTTACGCCTCTCCCCCGAGAGCTTCGGCGAATCTCTATCTCGCGCCACCCCAACTCGAATGTTTTACCATAGTCGTGTCATTCTCTTCCCTGGTCAATAAAATCCTCAGATATCAAGGATGAAACTTTTACGATCATTGGCAATTTTATTTTAAAGTGAATCCGAAACCGAATGGATTTGATCTCTCGGGACAGATCAGATAGCGCCGAATTACGTGTTTTCGCCGATTAATTATAGATGTCAGTTAGGCCGGATTAGATTTAAGGCGTGTAAACGTCCAGAAAATTAAGACCACCCGGGGAAGGGGAGAAAGAACAAAGACGACTTTATCGCGAGCATAAATCTCCATTGCGTGCTTAATCCATCTTTCCGGTCTTTATTGCCGACTGACTGAGCCGTATAATTGTTTGAGCGAACGTCCGCAATCGTGTATCGAATGAAAAAGTTTTAAATAGAAAAGTTTCGCACCCTCGATTCTGACGCTCGTTGGATCTTAAATGTTAATATCCGAATAATGGCGTCGTAATTCACGATTAGCGTAACGGAGCGGCCGCGCGCACCAGTCTTTAAAATTTACCACACACTCCGTGAAAACGGTGCATGCAAAAACTTCACCGGGAAAAGTGCCTCGTGATTAAATCGTTAAAAGTGAAACGGAGATGCGCAGGTTTTTTCGCTGCTGTAAATAAATAATAGAAGGGCATTTCTACCTCTATAATCCACCCTCTCTTTCTCTCTTTCTGAATTTTATTTCTATAATTGGTTCCGACGATTCATGCATATTAAGAGACGGATATACTTGAAAATGTATATTAAAATATGAAAATCATTTAAATTTTTTAAAATAAATGTAGATAATTTTCAGAAAATTTGGAATTATATAAAATAATTTTTTAAATATGTCTAAATATTTTTCGGACACGTAAGAATAATGTTAAAACCTTTGAAATGTTTTCCTGTAAAATTACGTTTTTCAATATTTTTGTATATTTTTTTTATCCGATGTTATCAGTTTTTACAATTTATTCAAAAATGAACTATGATTTGATTATTCAATTTAAAAAGTTTATAGCTTTGAAAATTACGAACAATTAAAGTCATCAAAAAAATTGACTTTATTCAAACTAATTAAAATTCAGGAGAAGCTTATTGCAAGAAAACATTGATCAAAATATAAAACCAAAGTGTATTCTTCAAGATAAAAAAAAATACGCAGTATTATCGTGTCGAAAAATGCGAATACTAAGCAAATACTCGAGAAATATAATCATCGAAATATTTTTAATCGTCAAATAAGAATGAAGTGGTCATGTCAAAGAACGGGCAGTATCATTCGAACGTGTCACCGTGTCCGTACGTTCCATTTTATATATCCGTCTTTCGCGGTTTTGGAGTCGCGAACTGTTTTCAACGCATGCCAGGTGGCGAGGGGGAAAGAAGGGACAGTTTCAAAGTTTTAAATCTACAGATCGCTCCAATGTGCCGTTCTATCAGCCGACGGGACTTAATGGCGCATCTTTTACATGGACGAGGCAGCCTCTCTTTCTCGCCTCCTCCTCCCCTTCTCTCGGTCATACTTGGTGAATTCGCGACTTTGATCCCTTCTGCTATATCTCCCTTCCTCAACCGTCATCTCGCTCCCGCTTTTTCTCTTTCGCAACTTGTAGAACTCAATTTCTATCCTGAATATGCGAGGGACGTACGGCAAACTTTTTCTCGCGGATGCACCGAACGTTGCTCTCTCGCAAATCTATCAACTTCGGAAAACGCGCCGGGAAGAGAAATTTGTAAACCGTTTATGATGGAACAAAGTTTTTCGAAACGCCACGTCTCAGGCGACCGATATAATCTTTAATTCATCGATTTATTCTTCGCTATTGCTCGTCGTTACCTTTCGTCCGACGATACGTACTTCGTCCCGCATTTTTCTCGCCGACAAATTCGAGTAATAAAAATGCGATTAATACTCGCCTCAGGTCTCCTTTTTGCAGCAAGATCTCCTCGAAAACCAAACGGATTCTCTCCTTCAATCTGAAACAGAATCAACCGAATTATTTTACATTACACTGTCACTTATTACTGTCTGCGGAGACTATTTTGAACGCGCGATATTAAAGCCTGCATTTTTATGAATGCGAAAATATTATTACGCGCATTTTTGTCCGCGCGGCGGTTTATCCTATTCCCAACGGTACTAATGAAACAAGATGGGCGGGGGTTGTAATTAATTTCGTTATAAGCGCACCTAGCGTATGAATTTGTTAAAACGACGGCGGCGGTAGTGGCGGCTGTGAACAGCATGGCGGGACCACAAATCTCTCTTTGCGCAAAGAGATTTACAGTGAAACGACAGGAAGAAAAAGAGAGAAGGAGAATATGCCTTTGCAAAAGAGTACCGCGAAAGAGAACTTGCGTCGTAAGGAAACAGAGAATCGAAATATTGTGCGAAATTCTATTATCCTCCCTTGTGTCTTCCGTTTTCTTCCTCGTATCCGGGAATGGCTGTCGAGATGGCTCGCTCGCAGCGATCGCTACGTGACACAAAGCGGGACTATCATCGGAGCAGTATAGCGTTAATATAGAGCGAGTGTCATGAATACCTGGAGAGCGAATAGACTGCTGCACGTGTGATATATATATATATATATATATATATATATATATATATATATATACACACGCGTGCATACACATCCGTCGGCTTTATAGCGGCCGGCTATGTTGCGTTGACATAACTGTTAGACATATAGGGGAAGTGAAAAGGGAGGAGGAGACAGTGGAGGTGCGGGGAAGGTGGGAGGCTGCGCACGTTACTTTGACACAATTACGGCAATTAAGCAGCAACCCACAATAGTACGGAAATCACATCCGCGCGTGCTGGCCGCGATTAAATTCATCACGATTGAGCGACGTTCTGACTCGACACCGTTAACCATTTCCTTTGAGCGCCGTGCACACGGATCAGACATCCACCGTAACCGATGAACCGTACAACGCGATACGATGATGTGAGTTATGACGTTTACGGATAGATAATTCTATTCTAACGCAAAATTAGGAATCTTATTAGATAAAAAATGGAATCCTATTAAATAAATTCAACAAAAACTGAAACAGAATATTTTTCCAGGCGAGATAAATCATTTAAAAAGATAGATAAAAAAATTCTGTTTCAAGAAACTTAAAGCACTTCATTATTTAATATTAATCCAACACATCCTATATTTATATATTAATTTAAACTCGTTTTATCCATATAAAGTGTGAAAATATAAGAAGCAACATATTAAATTTATCTCTCCTTTAAAATGTAACTTACTGTTAGTTGGATTATATGATATAGAACAAATAAATTTGTGGAAAAAAAGCGATTTGTTTTTTAATAATTGGATTTGAAATAATTTTTGAGAAAAAATTAATTAAAATTTTTAAAGAAATTATAGAGAATTATGTTGGTGAAAAATGTACACAAATAAATTTACATTATATTTAAAATAGTAAGTTATATATCATTATGTATTATTCAATTAATTATCAAAGTGCTTTTTGAAATTCGCAAGCGTGCCTAAAATATCTGCAAATATTATTTATAACTACTTTGTTGCTTATTATTTAATAGCATTTTTTAATTATCACTCTCTTTGTCTAAAATTTTCATAATTGAATATTTTTTGTCGATATTTTGTTGTCATTCTTTTTGTTTTATAAACAAGTACAAAGTAATCGCAATCTATTTTATAATTTATTGATATATATACGAGAATATCTGTAATTTTGAAAGAAAAAAATTATTTCTTTAAAATAAAATTAGAGTTTTTACAGAGATAGAACTTTTCTTTTAAATATATATATCCGGCAAGAGTAAACCTCTTGTTCTCATTTTGTCCGTTAACATTGGATCGCGGTTTCGTAGATAAATCGCGACGAGAATCCTGAAAGTAGTCTCGGCGCGTTTTGCGGAGCCGGCTGGAAAATAGTAGCGCTTCCTGCGAGGGATCATGCCAAGAACTTGCTACTTTTTCCTCTTTAGCTTCGCAGCTTTTATGGTATTGTACTGCAAACCAGCTCGCGACAGAACTTTCGGCGACCGCGAGTAACAACAAGGAGACGAGATGAGGAACGGCGAAAGTTGAGCCGTCCAGGAAGCCTGAAAATTTCCGATGACGGCAGAAACGCGACCGTAGGAAAATTCAGCGTAGATCAGTGATGATTCGAAACTAGCGAGACACCCGGAGAGAGATTAACAGTTCAAAACGCGAAATTTGAATGTCTCTCTGACAGAAGTTGCGCGCGCGAGAGAGTGAAACTCAACGTTGAGTCTGAAATGATCAAACATATTCTCCGATACGCTAGATTGGACGTTAATTAACTGCTAGCGGGATTACGAACTGTCGTCTCGTTAAATTCACTAAGACAGTAGTAGATATATATAGCGACAGCGGAGATTAGCCGCAGAGATGCATTATATATGGATTAGGCTCTTCCCTGTCCTCATCCTCCTTTCTCTCTCCTCCTCCTTATGGAATACAGTACGCGCAAGTTCACGACTAGGCCGGATTACAGTTACCTTGCCCGGAAGAGGTAGGAGCACCGGATGTTCTTCGGGTAAGAGGACGGGTAGCGCGGTGAGTAGAAGCGTCCGTAATGGGGCGTCGATTGCGAACTGACGAACTCGTGATCGCACATCGTGCCGGGAACCAGTAGGCCGTTCGTCTCGAATAAACCTAAAACAGAGAAAGAAGATTTATCACACATCCATTACTCCGCGATGTTTCGTCAGGAGAAATTATTCAGACTCCGAAAAATTTTTGATGCGAAATGAAGAGCGGTTTTAAGTACCTTTTGATCTAAAACGAGCGAAATATGGCATCAAAATAATAAAAGATCATAAAAATTAAAATATTAAATAAATAAATCTACGTATAATTTGGTCCAAATGATAAATCGATAAAAATAGGGAAGGCTTGTATAAGATTAAGAAGAAAAACTGTTTTTTTTTTTTTTAAATTATAGATCTATTAAACACGCTATATCCCCGCGTTGTTCTTGATCTTATACAAGCCTTCCCTATTTTTATCGACTTATCAAAATAATAGCAGTGTAGTAGTTATTATTTTATTATTTCTCTCTTTATTAGATTTTGGCAGAAAATAAATAATCCTATATTTTATATACGGAATATTCTTACGCTCTCTTTATTAGTTGTAATGTCTCAATGAAAATTTTTATCCTCTTCCAGCAAAATCTCCCTAGTCGATATCGTTACGAGCAAGCTTTCTTTCGCACTTGGAAAAACCTGCCGATAAATATCGAGATACGCAGAGGGAATCCTATTTGAGAGCCGTCTCTTGCGGAAATAGAAATCGAAATGAAATAAAATTAATCGCACCCGCGTCCTTAGAGCGAATATACCCTATATAGAGCTCGTTACGTATTGATTAATTAGTCGCACGTTTCATACTCTCCGTTTAAAGGCGTCGCCACGGTAGAACGATTCTGCTTGTATCATCGCTTACTTACGATTAACGGAAGCGTATAACGGTATGGATGCGCATATACGGACAGAAAGTTAATCTTAATTCCTTTTAATTAATTAGTTTCTGCACAGAATGGTCGTGCGAAATAAAACCGATAGCGATACGTACGAACGGTGTATACGGGATATTTGTGTTTAATGGCGATCTCGATCCATGGAATTTTATATAGGATGTCGAATACGCGGATTAGCGACTCTCGATAAACGACAACGATAGGAGAATTCAGTGCCGGTCGATTTTGTTGAAAGCACGATCGGAATTATCGCTCGGAGTGCGTATAAAAGACTCCCGTGCCGTTTTTAAATTCTACGATTTTTACGGGATACATACGGGCAATTACATTGCTGGTTCGCGCGATCCCCAGAATGCCCGGGATCGTTCTTTTGTGCTTGAAACAAAGGCAAGAGGAAAAAGCGGCAGTTTCCGAAAGATCCAAAAAAAAGGATAGACAGCAGAGTTAGAGGAGGCCGCAGGCTGCATCTCTCTCTCTTTCTCTCTCTCTGTCTCGTTGATGAAGAGATTCCACGAGAGGAACGTCGAGTTTCAGAACGAATTAATCGTTAACACGCCCATTGGCAAAGTCCCATTATAAGTAATGCGAATAGTAGTTGAGAAGGGAGAGAAAGGGGGGAGAGGAAGGGATCTAGTGTATTGTACTCGATCAATTATCTTGATAAATGGACTTTCCATTAGGCCTCGTGATATTTTAAAAACGTAATCAGATTATGAAATAATGATTTATCGAATGCTATCGAAGATTCAAGAATCAATAGACCCCTAAAATGAGGAATAAAGTGACGTAATAATAACTATAAAGATTTAATTGTATATGCTTTTCTCTTTCTTATTCTTTTTCTCATTCTACTTTTATAAGAGTAAAACGATTATATAGTGCAGAAAGATATTCTTTTTCTTCAAAAAAATTTCAAAAAGAATCACAAAAAGTTATATATAAATGTGTCTAGAATTATTTTTATTTTCATTAAAATAAATCCAAAAAAATATTTCACATAAAATACAATGGTCTGAATTAAGCGATTAGAAAAGTTTAGAAGATTGAAAATAGAATATTTTTTAATATTGTGTATAAAAATTTAAACAAATATTTTTTATTTACTTCCTTAAATAAAAATTTTATACGATGTTAAAAAAATCTTATTTCTTGATTCGTTAGATTTTTTATAATTTTTTAATCAGAGTGATTCTTTGGAAGAGCAAATTTTAAAGAAGAAATTTTGCAAAGAGTAAATTTTATCACTAAATTACCGTTTGAAAAGTGTAGTAAAACACAGACTTATAATAAGAGCTATCGAGAAACTCCATCTAATACAGTGCGACATTAATGAGTTCATTTTGCAAACGTGTAAAGAGATGTTATATATATGTATATATAGATATCCGTGTGTCATATTTGCCGAGAGTGATTCTGAAATCTCTCTCTCGGGAGATAAAACTCTGATCCATCCTTGAAGTTTCAAGTTTTAGACCGCGGAGAGAATATTATTTTTGCTCTCCTCATGCGCTTCGAACTTTAATACGAGGAGACGTGTGCCGAGAGGCATCTGAAGAGGGTGAGAGAAAAAAAATTCAGCCGCATCGAATGATGCATATTCCACTCGATATTCGATTCATATCGCGCTGATGCTGATAGCCTCATAACGTCAGTTCCTTCAAAACAATGATAAATCTGAAAAAGAGAAGTGAAGTGGAGAACTTTGGTCTTTTTGGCGCGCGAAAAAGTGGCTCGTTGTCTCTTTTTTTTCTTTCCGCCGTAAATTGCAACCTTTGATTAATTTTGTTCAGTCGTTAAATACACTTTTTCTATCTGCGCTTTCTCGTCTTCCTTCCTCTCTCCTCTGATTCTTGACGAACTATTCGAAGTTTAATTTGTCGGTGTGTCCTAAAATAAGGTTGTGTGACCGACAGACACACATATATTTATGAATACCGGTAACCTATGAGAGAGAGAGAGAGAGAGAGAGAGAGAGAGAGAGAGAGAGAGAGAAAGAGAGAGAAACTGTACGTGTATCAGACGTTTGATATTGTCTTGGTATCTGGCATGACATTGCGGTCAGCGAGACAAGTGTGGTTTCTGCGAAACAACGGAAATAAAGATTAAGGGGAGAGAAGCTAAGCTTCCTTCCGTCTTTCACAAAATCAGAGACAGAGAAAATTTATAAAACACATACCGTCGACATCGTAAATTAATTCCATTATTTTTCATTTCGGAGATTTTCTCTTCAATCTTTGGCAAAGTTTCCTTTGGACCGAAATTGCGGAGTGCTCGATATCTCTTTTACGCGAAATTGTACGTTTGATGATGTCATGTTGCAAATTGTAAGAACATTCTCTTGCTAGAAAACCGAGCGTTAGATGAGCGAGACATCATTTCTCGAGACAAATTTCTCTGCTTTTAACGTCGAATAATTTCCTACGACATTCACAAAACTGAAGTATATTACGTTGCAAAGGAAGAAAATCGCGCATAATTATGTTTCTAACAATATCTGATAATCAAAGATTCCATTCTAAGACGTTTCTTTTTCGACAAATCTTTCATCGATATTCATTGTGCTCGCATAACGTTAATCTGTTGAAGGAAGGGTAGGATACTTGTCATATCGCATGTGGTTGAAATTAACGACGTGATTTCCCGATGCACTGTATGCTTAATGCTCGCTGTAAATCTCCCAGCACACTGATTTATTTCAAATTTTTGCGTTATCGGGAGAAGAGCCGCGCATACGTTTGAATTATGAAATAGCTCCATTGGGAATCCAGTTCCAATTACGAGTCTAGCGCCGGATCAAAACTCTCTCTCTCTCTCTCATACATTATGTTGATCTCGAAATTACGATCACAATTTTTCAAAATATATTCATGATTAATTTTTTAATGTTTTTTTTCTATCGCTGCATTTCTCATTATTATGCTCATATTCTTTATCGCATTAGAGGATACTGGCAGTTTCATTTAAATGTGCAAAATTACGAGATTATTTTGTCTGCATTTTGCTCATCACGATGAATATCATGCGTTTTAAACAATCACATATCACTCACATTAAAACGCTTTCTCTTAATTAATAGAATTGGCGCAAAAAACGATGAATTAATAAAGATGATGCGATATAACGACACGATGATCAATTTGCGATTTCTATAAGCTTTTATGTCCCGCGTGTGTACCTATTGAACTTTCGTAGATCAGACGATGTACCCCGACAGATCTTATCTGAATATTTTACAAAGCGGAGGTGACGGGCGTAGCCCAATGTCGATAAAATTCCGCATCACATCTTCGGACATTCACAGATAGGGGACGGAAGACGTGAATGGAAATAAAAAAGAGAAGAAAGAGGAATGTATTCCCAGTGACGTTGTTATGACTTGGTGCGAGTTAAAAAACTTCTCTTTTGAATCGCCGAGGCCTCGCAAAGAAAGGTTCCCGAGTCGGAAATTCAAAAAAATCATGAAGCTTCGGAAATACAATACATAGTAAATATCTCGATAAATTACTTTTGTTTGCTGTCTCAATTTGTTTTAAAAAAATAAAATAAAATTCTGGAAACTGGTCTATTTTTCTTTTTTATTATTCACGACGCGCGCGAAAAAAAATATAAATAAATTTTATATAGAAAAATTGTATAATCTCGTTAGTCTAGTATAGTTGCAAATTATTTAAACAATCATAAATTGTTTAAAGAGAATTAATAGTTATAAATAATCGTTAAAATTTTAAGTTTTAGTAATAGAATGTTTGCTTATCAAATTCTTTTCTTTTTATTTTTGGGAATAATAAAATAGAAATGATAAATAGATCAATTTTAAAGATTTATTTTAGTCTCTAAGAATAAATTCAGACAATGAAAAACTAATGTAAAATATTTGTAAAGATTCTTTACATATTCTCTCATTTCATATGATAACTATAATTTTCGAGTTATATATAGGAGCCTTGTGAAAGAATCGTATTTTGATCGATAGATTGCATCGCTCACTATAATTGTGCAGCATTTTACATAATCATAGTTATTTCAACAATGCATCTCGACAATACATGTACTGAATCATAAATTGCGTAATTGCATCACATTTAATATTTCAACAGAAAATTATATATAACTAGGGCTTTTAACAATCCTGTAGTTTAACCTGTGTCAGAAGTTGAATGAAGTTAAGATTTAT